CTGTTGCTGGAGCAGTCGGTTCATTCTCAATGGCCTCCAATGAAAATTCATTCTTAAGTTTCGTGAACTCTTTCTTTGTGAATGAAAATAAGGACGTTGAAAACGACGATGATGATGATTTCTTTGGTGGCTGTTGCAGCTGCAGAGGAAATATCTGCTGCTGCTTGCTCGGAGTAACAACGGTAGTAGTAGCAGCTGTAGTAGTTGCTGCAGCAGACATTGTGGTGGTGGTAGTAGCAGTAAAAGAAGTAGTGGCCTGAATAGGAGTGTTGAAATCTGTAGCAGTAATATGGGAAGTAGTGGTAACAGAAATACCGCAACTTGAGGTGATTGAAGTGTATGTAGCGTTATTATCGGCTGGGAAAGTTGCAGGGAAGAAGTTTCTATCAATTTTATTACCGCCATTAACATTACCGTCGTCGTCGTCGTCTTCATCGTCCTCATCTCTTCTCTTGTAATCTTTCGACGATTTGTCGTCCGTTGGCGAGCAGAGGGATGATTCAGATGACTGATTGGTCAGAAGTTTGTGCTGGTTCTTCGAAGCCGAACCTGACTGCTGTTTCTTACTGGAAGGAGATTTCTTGCGTTTGAACGGAGCAGAACCAAAAACATCGAAGCCACCTTGGAATGGAAGTTTGAATGTGGAGGAGGAAGAAGATGATGATGCTGTTGTTGATGATGATGAGGATGATGACGTTGTAGTTGATATTGATGATGATGTTGCTTTGTTGCCTTTTAAGAGCTGTTTGTTTTCATTTGTTGAGTTTTTCGATGAAGTTGCCGATGATGCCGAAGACGTGCTGTTGATGTTAACAATGGAAGCTAGTATGTTAGGTACCGATAGTTTCCTTTCCGTATGTGACGAGGATGACGACGTGAATGACAACGTAGTGGTTGCTGTTGAAGCTGCAGCAGCAGCAGCTGCCGTTGCAGGAAGCAGCTGTTGCGGTTTTGATGATTTGGAACTTGAAGAGGCAAACGGATTTTTAATTATTGATATTTTTGGCTGTTTTTTATGTTGCTGCTGTTGATTAAAGTTTGCAGCGTGAATGATGCTACCATGACTATCTGTGTCGACTTTGCTCGCCTTGACCTCATTCTTATCTTTACTCTTCTCTAATTGGTCGGTGAAATTATCCTCATTATCATCGTCCCGATCGTCATCGTCGTCGTAATCAGTGGTGATGTTTTTAAGCTTGTGAAACGATGGTTTTGTAGAAGATGAAGAAGATGACGATGCAGACGCTGACGTCATATTCATTGCGTTGCCCTCTCGACCGAAGAGATTTCCTTTGAAGAAAGATCTGGAACATTCATTTGCCGATGTGGCGGGCCTCGCTGACGTGGCCATAGTGACCAATGATGTTGCGACTGCTGTGGATGTTGATGTTGACGGCGTTGTTGCTGCTGCTGTCGTCGTCGTGCAAACTAACGTAAATTTCTTTCTCACTTGCTTCGACAGGCTGTCCATATTACTGTCACCTTCATGAACATTGCCGATGCCGCCATCGCCACCACCCCCACCCCCACCGCCACCAATAGCGACATTCGCTTCATCTTCCTCGTCTTCATCTTCATTATCATCTTTGCCACATTTATCAGCCGCTTTCAGGAAGACTTGCCTGCTGATGTCATCATCAGCATTGTTGCCAACGTCGATGAATTGTTTGCAGATGTCAGAAGCTCCGCCCACTGCTCTCTTGACCAGTCTGGCAGTGCCGACCAGCAAATCACTTGACATGACGACCGCCCTATCAGAAAGTTTGGTTAGGTCGGCCACCTCTGCTATTGGCTTTGAGGTTTGTTTACTTGATTCTGATTTGCTGGTTGCCTGTTTGGAACTGACCAGTGGTTGCTTGCTGGTTGTCTCTTTTAACTTTGTATAGCCATCACCTGAAAACGAATTTTGTATGAGAACAATAAACTCTAAACAGGCATGCACCACAGGCAATTTGGTTATAAAACGGATCATGTTCAGGACCCTTAAGTTTTCAAAGATCAATATACAACCAGTATACAAGGCAGATCAATCGATCGATCAATCAATCAATCGCAGATCATAATCATCAACATCAGCAGTAGCAATTCACCTTCAATACTGGAACTTGACTCAGTTTCTGTGACATTCTCGGCTAATTTAGGTCGGTTCATCAGTTTTTTCATCTTCTTGAGGGCACCAAGGGGAACCCCGCTGAACGGGTCGGCATTCGATGACGAAGATGACGTCATCGTCGGTGGTAATGATGATGACGTCGACGATACATCCGGGTTCGACATCACCAAATCTTCCCTACTCTTCACTCCTGAGATGCCTGTGTGCATTGACGCATACATGCATGGATGAATCGATGAATTGTTTGGTAGATGAATTGTTTGGTGAATGGATTGATGAATAAATTGCTGGAGAGATTATTTGATGGATTAGTGACGGCTGAATGACGAAGTAAATGAATTCCAAAAATCGTTGAAACAATGGATGAATGAACAAACAAACCAATTAACCAGCCAGCAATCCAATCGATCAACCAACCAACTAATTAACTAGCTAAAGTGTTCATTCAATCAACCAATCAAAAAAAACAACCAGTCAATCAATCAATCATCCAATCAACTAACTACTATTAGAGCCTCTCTTATTTCTGTTGGCCTCCCTATTGTACATGGAGCTTTCCAGGTTGCAGTCATTGAAAGGATTCCAATCACCAAGGTCAGCTGAGCAAGGTCGTTTGGGATAGCTGGTGTTGTAGTTGTTGTTGTTGATGTTAAACAATTAATCAAGCAATCAATCCATCAACCAATAAACCAATCAACCAACCAATCCAGCTAGCCAGCCAGTTAGCCAACCAACCAATCAATTAACCGACTAACGAACCAATTAATCAACAAACCAACCAATAAATCAACCAACAAACTAATCAACCAACCAATCAACAATCAATCAACAAACTACCCATTCAATCAATCAGTCAACCAGCCAGCTAACTAACACATTGATAGTAGCATCCGAATTAACAACGACCAGTTTGGGATTTGTCGAACTCAGATCGTTATCATCGTCGTCATCTCCATTGTCGGCTGTAGCATCGCCATCATCAGCAGCAACATTTCGGCGATTGTCATCACCGTCATCATCATCATCACCTCTTTTTTTTCTATCATCACTGCTAACGTTTTTAGCCGCGTGTTTCTTTGTACAGCTCCTGATAATGATAAAACAAATCATTATCATCATCGTCATCATCGTCGTCATCATCATCGACATCAACATTTCCAAAAGCAACATCACCATCATCATCATCGTCGTCGTCATCATCAACATCATCAGTTACCTAAAAGCACTAAATCTTTGCATGTCAGAAGAGGAACTAAGTGACGTATCACTTATGTTTCGTCTGTGTTGTTGTTGTTGATGATGTTGTTGCTGATGCTGTTGTTGTTGTTGTTGTTGATGTTGCCTAATTTTTGACACCTTGGAAACCAGTTAAATATTGAATGATTAAAAGATTCCAATGAAAAGATATTTAAAAAATGAAAAATTTTTTTCATGATCATGAAACAGACGATAATAAAAATACAGGTGATAATAAATTCATATCATACACAACCATCATCATCTCCATCATCATTATCATCATCATCATCGGCAACCACATCATCATGAA